TAATCCTAACTTTATCTGCAAATAAATGATCCTTACAGCATCACTGACCCTTACCTGACCATGACTGGTTGTTGGTTCGTCCTCCAACAAAAGTTTCTGTTTCAAGCTTTTAATTGAACTTTTTTGAAAATCCTTGGTTTCTGAGTTCCAGACAGATGCCCTAGATTCCTGCCTTTCCTCTTTGGCTTCATCTCCCATATCTTCTGAGATGCCTTCATTTTTTTCACTAGTCTCATCTTCTTGGCCACATTCATTCTGGATCAGAAAAGGAGGTCTAGGTAACACTGGTTCCCCAAACCCTCTTTTTTTAAAAAGCTGCCTCTGAGCCATTTTCAGGCTCTTCTGATAAACCTCCAACTGGCAGAGAATGACATTGGTATATTCGTTAGGATCTACTCCAGCAGGGCAGAATGGAATACCCCAGTAGTAGTGCACAGTGCCCCCTTTGTCCTGGAGACCTTTGGTGTCTGTTGGGGTAGGAAGACATTGTCTAGATGTGTCCCCCTTACCCTGGACAGCTTTGAGAAAAGCATAACCACTCCCAGTACTTTCCTGTGGCTTCCCACACTTTGTGTGCTCAGCCAAGTGGCCAGTACATCTGTCAAAACATTTAACACTCTCATTCTCAAACACTGGCTGGCTTGACTGGTCCCAGCTTCCTGAGCTGCCAGAGACCGGCTCCTCTTCAGTGTTTTCATTGTGGTCCCAGGGCTCTTTTCTTTCCTCAGCCTCGTTTCCCTGACTGATATGTGAGTCTTTAAACAGTGATGGAGGTACCAGCTGCGATATGCCTGTAGGTATTTGAGAAAAAGTAGGGCTAAGGACAAAAATTTTTATTTTCAATTAAGACAACTTGGTAAGTGATCACTTACCAAAAATTACAAAAGAAGTTACAAAAAGCCCTTCTTTTACTTTAGCCAAAGGGTGGTTTTTTTCTTGAAGATAAAAGTATGCTGGATATTAAAGAAATTTCAACTATTTGCGTTTGAACCTCTTTTATATCACAACAAGGATTTGGGGCATCTCTGTCACCACTCTCAGCAGAAGATCCCTGTGGTATAGTTATACTTGATGAATGGAAGGAGTCAGAACAGGAAGACATGCCTTCAGTGGTTCCAGAATCTTTGGTGTTCTCTTGATGAGAATGTGAAGATGATCCAATAGCCAAAGGTTGAGAACTGGTAGCAGAAGCATCAGAAGACCAGCAACTCTGAAACAAGTGATCCCGTACCAAACCAGGTTCATTATTAAAATAGCTATATACGAAGAGTCACAGGAAGAACAAAAATGGCAGGCACTGTCCCTAGGATTTTCTCTTCTTCAAAATATAACTCCTTAATTAAAACAGATTCCCCAACGAGAAGTCAATGTCTATATATATTTACTATATGGTTTCTAATATGAAGGGTAGATAGTATAAATGATTCAAACTGGACATATATATTCACATGGTGATACATGTCTGTAGTTCTAAGCTTTTCGGAAGGCTGAAGTGGGGACTGCCTGAAACTTATAAGTTCAAAGCCAGTTCTTTCAACTCTAGGAAATTCCAGCTTAAACAAACGAGCTAAACAATAAATAGACTCAAGAATGGCTCAGAATCTGCTACTGGCAAATATCCTTATCATTTAAAATAATTTCTATTGCATGTATTCAAATAGTAATTTAATATTATTTGGTTTTTTTATGTGCATTAGTTTGTCATGTTTGTCGTGGGAAGTTTCAGGTCTCCTGAAACTGGAGTTACAGCTGTGAGCCATCATGTGGGTGCTGGGAGTTGAACCCAGGTCCTCTAGAAGAGCAGTTAGTGCTCTTAACCGCTAAGCCACTTTTCCAGCCCTTTATTTGATTATTTTTAAAACTGTCCATTCTTTCTCTCATTTTCTTTGCTGGCCCCACAAATGAGGAGAGGTAAGCACCTGGTCTTTGGAATTCTTGGTATTCTATAACTCTTTAGAAGCTGCCCACTTACTATGATTCTTTTAAGCCACTGACTGAAAAATCTGTGGAGTGGAAGCAAACTCACACAGTAACAAAAACACTTCCAACCGTATTAACCAAAAATTCAACAACACGGAGTTTAAAAATAAAAGTACTGAGATATATTAGTCAAAAAACCTATAAATTACCATAGCTCGTTTCTAATATAACTATACCAACTACTAAGTAACTAAGAACATTATTAATAAAACCCACAAACTCAATACAGTATATATTTACATTCAGGCTTTCAGCAATGGCTTTCCTCAAGAGCTCCTCTTCTTTCTCCTCCTGGCTGTTCACCTCCCTAGCTTCCTGCTCACTCATTCTGAGAGCCAAAGCAAATTGTTCTTCTTCTGACATCTCTGTGAGAGTGTAGGGAAGAGAAGAATACCAGGAAACAATTAGCACAATGGCAAAAAAAAAAAAACAAAACCCAGAATCATTAAATTGTCAACTGACAATATTCTAAATCATTTAGGATGATTTGTAATCTAGTAAGGAAAGTCAACCAAGATATGGTGTGGTCAACATTATTGGCAGCATTACAAGAACCCTACATTAACCAGAGTATAAGCCATCATGAAGGCATAGTGTTTGCCTATACAGTTCATTAGTGTATCTCTAGCACATAAGAGTACATGGAAATTAGTAACTGCTGAATGAACAAATAAAAACCACTATAGAGCTTTTTGCTAAATACCACACTACTTTATTCTCAATATTTAACCAGAGCAATTTTACTCTTTAGAATCTTTGTTTCCCCCCAACCCCAGACAGGGTCTGATGTGATGTAGTCCCTGCTGGCCTTGAGGATGACCCTCTAGTTACACTAGGATTATACACCCACACCACTTACTTTATATAGTGATGGGGATTCAACCAGAACTTCATGCACACTAAGCAAACATTCTTATCAACCAAACCACATATATCCCCAGCTCACAGAATCTCTAATTTATTCATTTTAACAAATCCTTAGTTATCAAATTCTGATCATCAAACATTATTTCCCACTAACAGCAATTGTAGTACACTAGCGAAATGGCTGATTCCAAGTCATGAAATGTACAAATGAGCTAGAATACTTCTTATAACAGCAAAGAATCTATTATACACTCCTAGGGTTGGATCAAAAGAAATCAGTAGCAAACTTAGGGGAAAACCCTACTGGCATAAAACTGAACTAGAATCCACTGCAATATCTTTATGAATTAAAACACAGCAAATGCATCCCCAGCCCCTCATTCAATGCCTTCAACATAAGGAAATATGGCACATACTGGATGAGTTATATTTTCAGTAATGTAGCCAGCCCATACGAGACTAGCTCTACACTCATCTTCATGAGGATCGCCCTAGTTAAACGCAGTAGGTTGCTGTGATGGCTATTCTTGGTTGTTAACTTGACTACATCTAAAAACCCAAGCAGCTAGGCACACCTATGAGGGGTTTTTAGTTAACGGGAATCATTTGAGGTAGGAAGACCTACCATAAATCCAGGTCATTTGAGATCAAAAGATCGTCCCTAAATCCAGCCACACCTCTCATAGCAGCCTGTATCAAGGACATGGAGGAAAGCAGCTTTTGCTTTCTGCCTGCTTGCCCATTCTCTCGGGCAAGTTCATCTACCCTGTGCTGGGGCACTCCTTCACTTGCATTAGAGCCTACTTCTAGAGTATACTGGAGACCAGCTAAGATATCGAGCCTCATGGGCTGAACAACTATTGGACTCCTGGACTTTCCATTGGGAGACAGTCATTGTCGAATTAGCTGGATCACAGCCTGTAAGACACTCTAATAAATCTAATATACATACATACATACATACATACACACACACACACACACACACATACACACACACATATACACACATACTCATTCTTTCAGTTCTGTTCCTCTGAAGAACCCTGACTAATATAGTCACAAAACAAAATAAAAAACAAAATAAAAAGACATGAAAGTGGAAGAGAGATTTGTAGGGAAGGAACAGGACTGATAAGAGTCAGAGATAAGAGAAGTAGGAATGAATACAATGCATTATATACATGTGTGGAATTGTAAAAAAAAATAAATTCAATTTTAAAATGCTGCAAAAAAATTTTAAGCTTCAAAGATGATCTTGACATGTTAGATTGATGGTCTACACCTCCCCACATAGGTGCACAAGGGTAGACAGTCAAAAATATACACACAGGTGCCCTCACTGATACATGCAATGTTTCAAATCAGTTCTTAGATCTCCTCCTCTTAAACCTAAGCAATCAAGACAATCTACCATATAACAAAGAAAAATATCTTTAATAATTTAAAAATAAAATAAGTTTAATATCTGAAGTAAGATATGAAAAAGTAATAACAAAAATAATAATTATTAATATCTTCAGAAAATAAGATATTGGACACTGGATCTCTGAACACACTCAGGATGCCATAAATAAACAAAGAACATTAGAGAATGAATAAGAAACTCTAAGATGAAAGAAAATGAAGATACGTATTTTCAAAATTTAAGAGGTAAAGCTAAAGGAATTTTTACAGCAAAATTTGTGGGTGTATGATGCTTGTATGAAAAAAGACAAAAGATGTAGTCCAGCTGTAGATCATGAAGATCACAATTAAAATTTCAACAGTCTTCCTCTAGCAAGTCAAATGTGTAAGCAGAAAGTAATTCCCTAAGAAACTTGAAAAAGTAAAAGAAAAAAAGAAAAAGAAAAAAAGAATATTTTTTCCTAATGAAACGCTATCAACTAAAAAAATGAAAACATACGTGCAATTTTTCTTTTAGCCAAACACTTTGATCTGTCCGACTGTTTTGTCTTCGTTTTCTGCAATCCATTCTCCTCTTTTGCTTCCTGTGTAAACAGGAGATATAAGAGTAAATGACACTTAAAATAGTAATTTCTCCATTTCTTCCATATTTCTTTTGATTAGTGGAAGCCTTTGAATTATCAGTGACTCTTAAAATGGTACACATAAGGAAATCCTTTTTTTTTTTTTTAATTTAAAAAAGAGAGCATGTCTCTCTTTGGCCTCGGCGGCAGAAGCAAGATGACGAAAGGAACATCATCCTTCGGAAAGCGAAAGCGTTGCAACAAGATGCACACGTTGTGCCGCTGCTGTGGCTCTAAGGTCTACCACCTTCAGAAGTCTACCTGTGGCAAATGCGGCTACCCTGCCAAACGCAAGAGAAAGTATAACTGGAGTGCCAAGGCTAAGAGACGAAACACTACCGGGACCGGGCGGATGAGGCACCTAAAAATTGTCTACCGAAGATTCAGACATGGATTCCATGAAGGGACAACCCCTAAACCCAAGAGGGCAGCTGTTGCAGCATCCAGTTCATCTTGAGGATTTCAATCTGTTATAAAATAAATGTTCTGGTTTCCAAAATGAAAAGAGAGAGAGAGAGAGAGAGAGAGAGAGAGAGAGCATACAAGATCTAGAACCAATCAAACCATAAAAATGAAATTGTGTAATACGCTGACATGATTACCTACCATATATATAGAATCACATAAAAGCTGCCCAAGACATCTACCCATCAAGATCAGAGACTCTTGATTCAATAACTGTCTGAATTCAGTATATATTTATTTATTGTAAATCATTCTTTGACCACTGGTTAGTGAAAAGAAATAAAGTAAAGGAATTCTCCAAAAATCAATAGAAAACCAAATATACCCACCCCATCCCACATCAAATCTTAGAAAGCAGCACTTGAGAGACAGAGCAGGCAGCATGAGTTTGAGACCAGTCTGATCTATACAGTGAGTTCCAGGACAGCCAGAACCATGTAGAGACACTGTCTTAAAACAACAATAACAACAAAACTGAATAAGTAGCACTGAAAAACACCAAATAAGATAACCAAAAAAGAAATAGAAAAAGCAATTAAAAAAAAAGCCTAAGAGAAAGCAGATGAAAGAGAATAGAGACAAAGATGATACATATATAATTGAGGATCCTAAGGACAGAAACAAAATATTCAATTGTAGCCCAAGAAAACTTTTAGGTGGGGAGACGAATGAAACAAAAAAGTGTCTATCATTCTCTAAGAATCAATTTCCCAGAGAAATTGCTAAGCAAATACTAAGCAAATAAAAGAAAAATTCCTAAAACATTCAGATGACAGACACAATAACTAATCCTCAAAAAGGAAAGTTAGTAGATATTCCAAAATCAGCTTACAAAAGCAAAAATATAAACAAACAAACAAAGCCTAAAGGCAATAAACTAAAGAATTACAAGACAGTACTGGAGAGGTGGCTCAGAGGTTAAGAGCACTGGCTACTCTTTCAGAGGTCCTGAGTTCAATTCCCAGCAACCACATGGTGGCTAACAGCCATCTGTAATGAGATCTGGTGCCCTCTTCTGGCCTGCAGGCATACATGCAGGCAGAACACTGTATATATTATAAATAAAAAAAATCTTTAAAAAAATAAAAACAAGGCAAAAATGTTTAAACAAAGGATTCTGTATCTCATCAAACAAACATCATAAAACATTTAAGAACTCAGGAAATGTTATAACACCGTTTTAACAAATCTAGTAAACAAAAAAAGTGATTTGAGAAAAAAATGGGGAAAGAAAACAGTAAATATTTAAAATACTTAATTTTATATCTAAGAATAAAACAAAATTAGAGACAAATACAAAATGAGCCAGTGAGATGGCTCTAACTTGTCAGGAGAGCCTGATGGCCTGTGTTAGAACTCTGAAACGCACGGCAAAGTGGAAGAGAAGAACTCACTCCACAAAGCTGTCCTCTACCCTACACACATTCTATGACATAAACACTAATAAATAAATAATATAAAAGTGAGAATGAGAATCACACTTTTTCTGGAAAGAAGTTGTCTACAAAGACTGATGTACTGATTAAAATTTGGAATGTTTTGGGTCCTAATTACAACTTATCTTGGGCTATCTTTACCCCTCAAAGACCCATTCTTTGCCTACCTATGTGTTGGACCTAACATCCTATGGCTAACGGATTAAATCCTTTTGGAATGTTTTAACAAAAACTCAAGTTTTCACCAACCAAAAGTTTAAGAGCTATCATATAGTATTTAAAATCTATAACTGAGATTTTGCTACTTTGTTATATAACCACCTACTTAATGTACCTATCAAATTTTTTTAAAAAACGCTTTGATTTATGACTTTCTTTTTTCTGTTATCATAGAAATATCATGAAACTGCTACCACACTAGAACATGGAACTTGGGGTAACCTCAATCTGTGTTCTAGACCATGTCACACATATCTGGCTTCAGAATAAACTATCTCTTATCCTTTCTCAGGTGAGAACTGTGTTTTTACATTGAAAAAAAAAAATATATAGCCAGGCGGTGGTGGTGCACGCCTTTAATCCCAGTACTTAGGAGGCAGAGGCAGGTGGATCTCTGTGAGTTCAAAGCCAGACTGGTCTAAAAAGTGAGTTCCAGGACAGCCAAGGTTGCTACACAAAGAAACCCTGTATTAGGGGGAAAAAACAGAAAAATATATTAATGTTCTACTTTCTAATAATGAAGGAAATTATGCTATTAAATAAAAAAGCATAAAATAAAATAAATCCATCAACTACTACATAGGTTGAAAGTAAAAGTCAAATAATACCGATCAAAACTGAAAAACCGGACAATGCCCAAAAGAAGACAATAAACAGAATTATGAAAAGCACACTATAAAAGTAATTATTAGCATAACATCAAACAATTTCTATCAGTATTCTCACAGCAACTACAAGGACCAGCCTGATCTACATAGTAAGTTTCAGGCCAGCCAGTTCTACAAAGTGAAAGATCCTATCCTAACTAGCAACACATTAAGGAACTTACATCATCCTTAGGAAGCACAAAATTAAAGTCAAACTCTGAGCACAGATGCAAGATTTGGTACTTTAATCAACCATCAGGTACAGTGAAAAATCACAAAAGCAAGAGAAACCAGAAGTAGAGGTGTGGTTTGAATGTGAAATGTGCTCCCATAGGCTTGTTTGTTTGAATACTTGCTTCCCAGATAGTGGCCTTGTTTGGGAGGATTACAGAACCTTTAGGAGTTAGAGTCTCACTGCAAAGAAGTGGGTCACTAGGGGAAGGTCTTGAGGCCTTTCAGTCTGTCCTTCTTCCTGTTCACATTCTGCTTCCTGAGTATAGATGCAATGTAAACAATAGCTTCCTGCTCCTCCTACCCAGCAGCCTCCCTTGCCTGCTGTCATGTCTTCTCTGCCATGACAGGCTATATGACTTTGGAAGTGTAAGACAAACGAAACTCTTTTTCTCTTAAGTTGCTTTTGTCAGGGTATTTTATCACAGCAGTAAAGCAACTGAGACAAAGCCTGGTATTAAGATGTGAGGCCAATGCTATAATAAGCCTGTCTTCCATGTGGTTCTCATGTCTTTGGAACTGGTTAGGGGGTAGAAATATGGAAGTGTTTGGAAATTTGGGAGCCTGTAAGACAAAAATACTGAGAAGGGCTGGAAAGATGGCTCAGAGATTAAGAACACTGGTTGATCTTCCAGAGTTCTTGAAATCAATTACCAGCAACCACATGGTGGCTCCCAACCATAATGAGATCTGCTGCCCTCTTCTGGTGTGGAGGCATGCATGCAGACAGAACATTTTACAAAGTAAATAAATAAATCTTAGAGGGGAAAAAAGAATGCTGAGACAAGCATGAACAGCAGGGCACAGACCATGCGTTTTCAGAGAAAAACAATGACTATCAGGAACTGGGAAAGAGATAATTTATGTACACAAAACACTCTTAAGGGGGCTGGAAAGATGGCTCAGTGGTTAAGAGCATTGCCTGCTCTTCCAGAGGTCCTGAGTTCAATTCCCAGCAAACACATGGTGGCTCACAACCATCTGTAATGAGGTCTGGTGCCCTCTTCTGGCCTGCAGACATACACACAGACAGAATATTGTATACATAATAAATAAATAAATATTAAAAAAAAAACCTCATAAGAACAGACCCATGCCCAGCAGTAGGAAACTCACACACACTCAAAGGCATTTTTGGAGGTTCTCTGTCTCATAATGCTTTGTTTGAGCACTATTTTTCTTTTGTCCTTACAGGTCTTTTGTGTACACATTACAATTTTCCTGCTGTGTTTTTAAAGGATTTCTGTGTATGAACTTGTGTGTCACAGCACCTATATGTTTTGTGCATTTTTTCTTTGGTTCTTTTTTTTCTGTTTCATCCTATTTCAGCTTGTTATTATTTTATCTTATTAATTTTTAGATGCTAGCTTGTACTCTAATGAGATAGGGCAAGAGTGTGGATTTGAGTGGTGAGGAATTTGAGAGGATCTGGAAGGAGTTGGGAGAGGTGAAATATTATAAAAAGAGTATATTGTATGAAAAAGATCTATTTTTCAATAAGAAAATTAAAATTTCAAGCCAGGTGGTGATAGCATACACCTTTAATTCCAGCATTTGGAAGTTAGAGGCAAACTGATCTCTGTGAGTTTGATGCCAGCCTGGTCTACAAGAACTAGTTCCAGGACAGGCTCCAAAGCTACAAGAAACCTTGTCTCAAAAAACCAAAAAGAGAAGAAGAAAGAAGAAGGAAGAAGGAAGAAGAAGGAGGAGGAGGAAGAGGAGGAGGAGGAAGAGGAGGAAGAAGAAGAAGAAGAAGAGGAGGAGGAGGAGGAGGAGGAGGAAGAGGAAGAAGAAGAAGAAGAAGAAGAAGAAGAAGAGGAGGAGGAGGAAGGAAGAAAAAGAAGAAGAAAGAAGGAGGAGGAGGAGGAGGAAGAAGAAGAAAAAAGGAAGAAGGAAGAAGAAAGGAGAAGAAAAAAAGAAAATTTAAATTTAAAAAGAAAACTAAGGAAAAGCAAAGGAAAGTAAAACAAATACAGCAATGAGGCAATAAGTAAAAAGAACAGAAGAAGAACACACCAAAATACGGAAGTGTCTGCAGTGATGAGCCAAAGATGCTCATGTCGTGCCTTCCATGCATGTGAATAGAGACATACACACAAACACCCGCCCCACACAGACAGACACAGACCTAAGTAAATAGTTGCAATAAGTGAAGTGAAATGTAGGGAGATGGCAGAAGAGACATGTACTCTATTGAAAAAAATCTTAACAGGCAAAGAAATGGAAACAGATCTGAGATCACTGAAGAGATAAAACCTAAAGCATGTGACAATCAATAAGGGGTAAAAGATGAAAAAAGGAGTCAAAAGCAATTCTAAAATTTATAGTCAGAGAAAAATGAATACTTTTCCCATTGACAATGGCTTGGCTCATCATGTACTGTTTTTCTGATCTAACAGGCAGATAAAAAAGAAAGAGAAACAGTAAATAAGAAGATTTAAAATCTAGAAAAACCTCTCTCCTAGAAGCCTTTCCATATGATGCACCTTCT